TCAAGAAACTGAAATCTAGTAGAAGTCTTCAAGACTGGGTGGCAGTCTCACCTTGTATCTTTATGAGTGAAATTATTTAGGTACTAGTTACCCTTTTTTTCTTTGTTTGTCAAAATGAGAATGAATTTGGTAAGGTAATATTTTTTGTAGGATGGTTAGTGTAATGTCTTCTTCCACACTTAAATTACTAGAATGATTTGTTTTGTTTGAGAATCACATTAGGAACTTCTTCATCCAGTCTAAATCTCTGAAGTGGAGAATACTGTTTCCTGTATTGAATTTTAGGGCAGATTCAGTGGCTGCAATGCATGAGGATGACTCTCCTGAATTGACTGAAGTAGCAAGAATATTGAAACGTGATCTTGAGGTAGCCAAGTCAGACACTAATTGCCTGATTTTTTGGTCTATTAGAGGGGCTTAGTGATTTATATGGTTTACTTTTCCCTTGGGTTTTCACTTTGCAGATTCAAGATGTTTCCTTGAAGGTACGTAAGCTTGTTCTAAGAATATGTGACGTGGTAACGCGTAGAGCTGCCAGACTGGTAGCTGCTGGTATTGTTGGGATTTTGAAAAAGATTGGCCGTGATGGGAGTGGTGGCTCAACTGGTGGCAGAAGTAGAAGCGATGCTAATATCAGGAGAACAGTTGTGGCAATTGAAGGGAGTTTGTATACAGGTTATGCAATGTTTAGAGAGTATTTGCACGAAGCATTGACTGAAATATTGGGAGAAGACATGGCTCAACATGTTGTTCTAAGACCTGTAGAAGATGGACCTGGCATCGGAGCAGCTCTCCTAGCTGCCTCACAGTCAACGCAAACTGTGGATAGCGTACAGCAGCCATAATCATATATATAATTTATTTATATATATATACACATAGCCCCTGTACATGTAGAATTCATTTCCATATCTTTTAATATATAAGAAAAGGGTTTGTTCTTTACATGCCCCCAAGTGTATCATCATCCTTCATTTTTTACCTCCAAGAAAGGTCATTGTATATTTGATGCTGGCAATGTGAAAATGATGTCTTTTTGTCTCAGAAATGAGAATGGTATTCTTTATAATACCCTTGAACATCATGTATTTGCACAACTTTTGTCTGAAATGAAAGGCGATGTCGCATATATAATGGTGCTTTAGGAAGGAGCGTGGGGGACCCATGAATCTTGTGGTCGTCCATGATCCTTTCTGGGTTGGCCACCGTCCTTTATTTTCATTGGCTCCGGGTGGTGGCCACCACTGATAGCGCCTGAACCATTCAGCGCCATTGTCAGCTCAAATCCTTGCCCTCAATTGGTCATCTACCACCTCTTTCTGCAATTAGTGTCTCCAAAGGTTGACCCCTCACCCTGCATTATTTCTAGTCTCAGCTTCTTTTCACATTGACCAGTAAAATCTTATGTTGGTGGACAACGGGAAGGGGACGAGTAAAAGAAACTGAGGCATGCAATTTTTGACATTCTAAATGGTAGTGGGTGAGATATGTCACTATCCATGTTTTAATATGTTACATTATTATATTCATTCAAGAAGTCATTTTCCCCACGTTTGAATCTCAATGCAATATTTTTGTTATTTTTTGGGCAAATTGTACTTACCGGTCCAATGTAGTTTGAGGTAAGTGCACTTAACCCTCTACTTCGTAAAAATGTGCATTTGACCCCCACGTAATATTAAAATATGCACTTAACCTTGTATCATGAAAATATGCTTTTGACTCCCCTGTGGTTTGCAAAATATACACTTGACGTCCAAGTAGTTTTAACATTTGGCCTTTAATATTTAAAGACCTAAGGGTTGATTACATATTTTATATAAAGGTTAAATGTCAATTTTGGTTCTTTAACTTTAAGATTTTTTATAATTTTCATCCCTCAATTTTTTTTTGCTTTTTTTTTTCCTTTGTTGGGGAAAATTTTTTTTTTTTTTTTGTTTTTTTTTTTGTTTGTTCGTTTAATTTTTTTTAATTTTGCCCTTTTTTGTTTTTTTATTTTTAGTTTAAAAACCAAAAATTTTGCTTTTTTCAAAGTTTGAAGATTAAAAATGTGTAAATTTAAATAAATTTAACAGATTAATTAACAAAAGAACTAAAAAAGTATAATTTTTATAGTTAAGGGAGCAAATAAGTGCATAAAAAAGTTGAAGGATAACAATTATATAAAATTTTAAAGTTGAGAGACTAAAATTAACATTTAACCTTTTATAAATCACAAGGGTCAAGTCCATATTTTCATGATTTGGGAGTTAATTGTATAATTTCAAACCAAATGTGGTCAAGTGTGCATTTTTGTGATTTAGGGGCTAAGTGCACTCACCCCAAACCATATTGTGATGTCCCATTTTTTTTGGGAGGGGCGGTAAGTGCCATTTTTTATGTCCCCAGTTTCTAGCCCAAAACCACTCAGTGCTTCGGCCCTTTAACGGCCTTTGATTTGTGGGCTTTAGCAGTTTCAGCGCACTCCTTCCTCAGCAGGCTAGACAATCGGGACCATCGGACCTCATTTTCTTCGACCTGAGCTTCCGAATTCTGCAACTCTCTAATGGCGGAGGAAAACAAAGCCAAGGCTTCTGCTATCAACAAAGGCAAGAAGAGGAAGCAGTATCTCCCTTACAATGTAACTTATAGTCTTATACACACTCTCTATTTTAATATGATGTGTGTTTCTGTCTCTCTAATTTGATTTTTCTTGTTTGCTTTCTGCTACAGAAACCTGTGAAGAAGAGAGGGGCATACCCATTAAGGCCAGGTGTTCAAGGCTTCTTCATCACATGTGATGGTGGCAGGGAACGCCAAGCTGCCCATGAGGCTATTAACGTCATTGACACTGTATGTTTTCTTCTTCTCTCTTCCAATTTCAACAAGTTCTTTTCTTTACTTTTGTTTTGAATTTCAATTTTTTTATTTTTTATTAATCAAAGGTGACAATTTCATCATTTCTTGCTAATTTTCATTCTGGGTATTTGTTTCTTGCTTCCATTTTAGTTTCCTTTTGAACTTTGCTAGTGTTCTTTGTGTAAAAATCACTTTTGCCCGTTTTATCACTAACTCTTAGTACGCTGACTTTTCCAATTTTGCCTTAGTACTTGTAGAGTATGGTGTGCTTTTGTTCAATTCCTGTGTCAAGACCACTTCATAGAGGGTGTTCATTCTATTTGCCTGCCTTAGTTTATGCATTGCTTTTCAAGAAATTCGGCTCTGATGTTTAATCTGATCTTACTTGAGGAAAGCTGGTGACTTTATTTCTTATTTTTTTCATTCAACAACAAATAAGAGGATGTATCTCCTTAAGTTAGCTTTCATGTATGAAGCATACATGAAAGTTGGCCTGGAGCACGTCACATCTTTAAGCTAAAACATTCACTGAAAAATGACTTAAGGAGATACTGACTAGTGGTGGGTCTTGTGCAACATCTCGAGTTTCCACATTTTAACACTGATTTTTTCCTCTCATCATGTGAAGTCAATTCTTGATGCTCTACTCTCTACTCTTCCATTATAGTGGTTCTTTATCATGCATTCTCTGTTGAACAAGTGGTTGTTTTATTTTACTTCCAGTTCTATGAAGAGCTGGTCCAAGGGAAGGATTCTGATGAGAAGCTTGTGGACTTACCTGATAAACCTTTAAATAAAAAGATCACTTTTTCGTATAGTGATGATGAGGACAATGATGAAGAGAGAGAAGAGGAAGAGAAGGAGGAAGGAAGTAAATCAGATACTTGTAAAGATGATGATGCTAGTCGTGAAATTCCAACAAAAGAGACCAATGACAGCAAAGAGGGTGGTGAAAATAATGAAAATCAAGCAGATGAAACCGGGGAGCCACCATCAAAGAAGCAATGCCTAGAAACAGACACATCAAAGTGTGGGCCAAATGGAAAAGAGGAGAAGTCTGTTGATAAACTAATTGAAGCTGAACTTGAAGAACTTGGTGATAAGAGCAAGGTAAGTAATCAGTAACTACTAAAGATTGTTAGCGGTAAATGAAATTGGATAGGTCTAGTAAATTATGCAGCCAATTAAGTGAAACCAATTTAACCATGCCAAATCACCTTTGTGCTCTACGTAATTCTTTAGTTCAAAAATGGGATTCTGTTACAGTTAAGACATTAAGACACTAGAGAATTGGCATGTTTCTATTTTCAATATGAGTAGAAGCTATTTGTATGGTTTAGATTGAAAAGTGATCTCACAAAATGATGTTTTATTGTTAAAGTTAGAATGGGATTGCCTCATAGATTGTCTGTGCTTTATCAAATCTCTTAATTGAAAATATATAATATTCAGGCTTAGAGATTCTAAATTTGAATATTATTGACTTTACCATTCGTACACTGATGATAAATCTTCTCACTCTTTCTTTCCAGATCTTATTTGATTTACCTTTTGGCCTCCATTAACTTGGATTGCTTAATTCTTCTTTCACTAAGGCACTCAAACTTCCATTGTGCAAAATTGATTTGTGCCAGTGTTTTCCCTATTCCCACATGCCAATGACATGTTGTTATGCTCTTCAAACAGAGACGCTTCCTCAACCTTGATTCAGGTTGCAATGGTGTTGTCTTTGTTCAAATGCAGGAGAGAGATGGTGACCCTAGTCCCAAGGATATTGTGCAGCACATGATGACATCTGCTGCATCGACCAGGAAACACATGTCAAGGTTTGTTGGCTCACATGTTTGGTTATAGGATGCAAAGTACATGTGTGCACGTTAGATGACATGCTGGTATTAGCAAGCTAAGATCTATACCGTTGTCCTTATTTAGGTTTATCTTAAGAGTGTTACCTGTTGAAGTGGCATGCTATGCTTCTGAAGAGGAAATTTCAACAGCAATGAAATCTCTAGTGCAACAATATTTTCCAGCGGAAACTCAGAATCCTCAGAAGGTAAACATACACAAAGTTTGTTGTTCTCTTCATGTCTTTGCATGGGGTAACAGCACAATCTGTTTGACATCTTAAAAAAGTATGAAATCCTTTGTTTAGCATGCTAATCAGATATCTGAGTTCATTTTTGGTTAATATTTGTCTGCGTTGTTTACCAAACTTTATGGAAGAAGGGAAAACGGGACTGTTTGTCTTAGTAATGTTATGTGGTGCTGTCACCTTTGGATCTTTGGTTATTTGACTCTACAATGGTTTTAACTTGTGTGTGCAGTTTGCTGTACTGTATGAGGCCCGTGCAAATACTGGTGTTGACAGGATGAAGATCATAAATTCAGTTGCAAAGTCTGTACCTGCTCCTCATAAGGTTGATCTTAGCAATCCTGATATGACAATTGTGGTTGAGATTGTCAAGGTAAGTGGTTAGATTTTTTCTTTATCCTACTAAACCATAATTATGATGACCGCATAGCTGCTCCTTTGTTCAACTTCTTCATCCTTGCATTTTGTCCAACATTTGATTTGGCAATATTGCAAAAACGTCCCTAGGAGGGAACAAAGTCAAATATGTGTGAAACTAATTAACAAATCCCCAAATGTGACATAGAAAGTAAAGAAGGGTTAAAATATTTCTTTCTAAAGTTGTTCATAGTTTCATGAATAGACCTTTTTACTTTCAGATAATGGGAGTATCTTATTTTATTTCTCTGTATATCTCATCTGCATAGGATTTGAATCTTAATCTATCCTCATATCCTGGCCATAAACTATAGAGACTTTTATTAAATAAACCTTTACAGCAGCTGCCATGGTTGATTTTTTCTTCAGTTCTTGCGTATTTTATGCATATCAAATCATGTTATACACAATAATGTTCTTGTTTCTTGTTAAACAGACCATTCTGTTCTGCTTGTATCATTATTTAACATAACGGAGATGAAGCTGATTACATCATTACTTTCAATTTTCAGACTGTGTGCTTGATTGGGGTTGCCGAAAAGTACAAGGAATTGGCAAAATTCAACCTGAGGCGGCTCACATCATCAAATTAATAACTATGAATCACATCAATACATTGTAATTTAATCTGAGGATCTCCACAAAAGGAGAAATCGGCCACTGGATCTAGACTTGGCAGTAGCTTTATAATTAAGTAATTCAGATGGTTTGTTATTTTTACTGATATAAAAATTTGGTTTTTCCTTCTTGAAAATTTCTAAATTTTGTTGCAATAAAACATATTTCATTTTTTTAATATTTTCATTCAAGATTTTTTTTCTGGCAGCTAATGCTTGCTTTTGATGCTTCTATATCTTTTTTTTCCCCACACTCTCTTTTAGAGCTTATCTACAGCTTGTTTCAGCCAAGCTCATGGAAAAAGTATTGTTCCATTCTGCATTCTCAGCTGACAGCCAGGATCAAAGAAAGACTCTGAAATTTGGATTCTCAACTTCAAATATTTATTAGTTTTGTTTTCTTTTTGTTATTGAAATGATTTCCCTTTTATTAAGCAGTCTGGATTTTTATCATACTTACTGCTAAGGCAGGTGAAGAATGCACGAGAGATATGTTAAAAGTAACAATCTTTCATTATTAATTAAAAACTATGAAGTAACATACAAACAGAAATTGAGGAAGAAAAAAAAGGGAAAAAAATGTGCTGAACAAAACTGATATCTTGCTATGTCAGTTCTAAGAAACAAAAGCCTCTAAACTCCCTATCTCCGAATCACAAATTATGCGTTTGGAGGCTTGTACAACTTCTCAACCATCTTTCTATATTCTGCAAGAAACAGAGTAAAACATATTCAGACAATGTTCTCATCACAAAAAAAAAAAAAACCCAATATGGTGACCAAACAAAAAAAAAAACCTATATGTACCTTCTTGATTGCTCCAAAGTTGTGCTGCTTGGGTGTTCAGTGGTGAACTGATGTTTGGTTCTGAATGTCAAAAAAACGACAGGAATAAGGAGGACACTAACAAATAAATGTTTAAAGTTGATGTAGGAAACTGGAAAAGAAAAGTACCTCCAAGCAAACTCTGAATTGAAAGCAGGATGGTTCTCACGTCATATGCAGAGGACCATTTATCCTGCAAAAATACATCGTCAAGGTTATACTTTTATGGCTCAAATTATATCAAAAAACACGGCAAAGTCAGATTAAGCAAACGAACAATATGGGTAAATTACCTGAAGAATGTCCAGGCAGATGTTGCCGTAGACATCAACATTGGGATGGAAGCAGCCAGTCTCAAACTTCACCTTTGGAGGCTTAAATGGGTAATCGTTTGGAAAGGAAAGGGAAAGCCTGTACTCTGTTCCTTCAAAGACAGTGTCTTTGCTACCAGTGATGGTCCCTTTCCAGCAGAATATATTGTCCTCTTCAGGGAAGGCAGATATCCCAGAATCTCCACTCATCTAAATTTCAAGTTTCAAAAAAGCAAGAATACTCTGTAAGGAACCCAAAATCTAAAGGAGCTTAAACAGTATAGAGAGATGAATGATTTCCGTTCTTACCATCAAAGCCATCAATTCAGACTGCAACCTGTTGAAGAAGAACAAAGGGAAAAAACAAAAAACAAAAAAAAGAAGAAGAAGGATTAGAACCCTACAAATTAACCCTCAAAAAATTAAGGGAAAAGGACAAAAACAACACCTTTTGAGCACAGATTGGGTATCACCACTCTTGGCTGCGGGAACGGCTTTCTTGGATCCGGTACCGGCCTCTGCAGTGACCGCCGGTATATTCCCTTGGTACCCATTAACTGTCGCCATCGCTGTTTCTCGACTCAACAAACACTAAGATCACGAATCTATGGAGGCAGAAAACAAATTAAAACACTGAGTGGGATCTGTTTCGGGGAGATGGGAGAGAGAGAGTGAGGAAAGAAGAAGCGAAGGGAGAGAGAGGGTTTTTTCTTCTTCTTCTTCTTCCCGGTGAGAGCAGATGAGGTAAGAGAAGAGGGTTTGAGGGATTGGCTTAAAACGTCGAAGTCTGCGGTTTGGTAGGGAAATTGGAAAAAATTTTGACCGTTATTGAGAACGCGTCTGTGAGGTTCAAATTGTCTCTTTGTTATCTCTAACGGCTAGTTCATTGGTTCTTCAATTCTACGGTTCTATTACCTGTCAAAGTGTTCTTACCTTCCTTTTTTTTCTCTTTCCCCTTTCTTTCTCCCTTCCCTAGGTCCAATAGTACTTTTTTTTTTTTTTTATGTGTTTGGTTTTATTTGCACAATAGGACAACAACTGCCTCTAATCTTTTATCTCATCTCATTTTACTTGTATATCATGTAACTCAAACACATAATTTCTTATTTATAAGAAAAAAAAATGATCATTAAACTATTTAACTCGTTGGCAAAGCTTAAATACTACTTTGAATGGTAGATTTCCAAAATATTAAAATGGAATGAAAACTCGTTGTTCAATTAGGCTCTATATATTATAATTATGGTTTTTAATTTTGGTTTTTATAAATTTTGTAATTTTTATAAAAAAAAAAAAACTTGTTTACTATTGTATGTTTTTGTAATAAATTATTATGATTATTAGAGAATAAGAATAAGAATAATTTTAATTAATATTATTAAATAAGTTTATATTTTTTATTATTGTCAATATGAATTTGTTTTAAATAAATTGTTAGTTTTTTATTTTGACCTATTAATTATGTGGCTTTTAACTTCTTTACTGGTAGTGATATGGGCATCTACAGCTTCAAGGATAGAAAAGCTTCACCATCTTTCGAGTTTCCTTGAGAGAAATACTTCAAATCTGACGAAGTGCCCAGTTGGCTCATTCCAAGTCCCGGATAATTCAAAGGAGAAGTATCAGTGTGGTAATAGAAGCCAAAATGATTTTTTAATCTTATAGTCAATGTAAAATACTAACTTTATATCATTAGTTGTGTGATCTAATAATAAAGTTACATGTACTCTTAATCATAAGTTTAAAGTTTAATTTTTAATCTTTATATATCACAAAATTAGAAACTTTATAGATTAAGATCTAGATGTAGATTTTAACTCTTCTAATTTTTTGTATTCCATTGGAATATTTTCTTTTTAAAAATTTTGCTTATTTATCAATGAAATATATGAGAAAATAACTTGTAAATCTGATTTTATAAACATTTGTAGTTCTTAAGTTGTGTGCCCCTTTTTGACTTTATCCTCTTTTTTTTTTAACTCAGTTGAACTCATATTAAATAAAAATCATTTGGCATCTACATAAAAAATTCTTATCTTAGCGATAAGAACAAATAATAGGACAAAGAAAGTACAACTGGAGATAACAACTAAGAGTAGATCAAGTTCAACAAGGGACAAATATAAAGAAGGACTGAAAAATCACACAAACAATCTCTAAAGAACCTAATTTTTACAAATTCATTTAGTCGACCGTTTTAGAAAACTGGACGCCCTTTAATCTACTCTTGAAGATGAACCTGCTCTCAAGGATGTTGTGGCAAAGAGATCAAAGCAAGTAGCAACCAACTCCTAATTTTTGGTTTATTGTCTTGTTGGTCACCAGATTTGAACAAAACAAACAAGAAAACGAGGAACAATGAAGAAGAAGACCACAAAAGAAGTCAATAGATCACTCAAGGTGGTCAATAGACAAAGGAGTATGAAAGGTCAGCTCCACCATACTTGAGAAGCCGAAGGGCTTCTGAACACTAAAAAAAAAAAAAAATACACTGAAAGTTTGGGAAGGTTTAGTTAGAAGTAGGAGGATTCTAGAGTAGAGAGAGAAAGAAAACGGTCACACCACCTCCTATACATACTTTTGACTTTATCTCTTTATTTTTTTAAGACCTTAATAGATCAATGATCTGAACACGTGGCTTTTTTTAGTTAATTAAAAAACATATTGGACTCAATTAGCTCAAAAATAAGTTCGTAGGTTAAATTCAAAAGACAAAATAAGTTCAGGGCCTAACTTATTTCATAACAACGGAGGAGCGTAGTTCTTCCACGTCATCTTGCAGGGGAAGGTGCCATGTCATCAGTAACGATAAACTGATAAAGGGATAAGAAGCATTTTTGTGCCGGAGAGAGGAAACGGCGGAGCAATGGCGCGTGTTTTGCTTCATTGTAAGGCTGCGGCGGTCACCATGGCGACTACTAAACAAGGGGATTCCGTTGATGTCAGTAGAATTCAACTTCCGGACAAGACCCGAAATTCCCGCGTGCTGGTGCTTGGTGGGACGGGTCGGGTCGGAGGATCCACTGCCACTGCGCTCTCCAAGCTCTGCCCTGATCTCCGCATCATTGTGGGTGGTCGAAACAGGTCAGCGAACAAAACCCATTTCTCCCATTGTTTGGATGCTCAGAAAATTATAGGAAAGTTAAGAAATTTATCTCTCTTGGAGTTCTGGTTTTTGCCAAAGGAAAAAGGGGTGTTTTTTTTTATGTGATTTTCATGGAATAATTTTGATTGCTATAGTTTAATATTTGCTTAATTATAAGCTTTAATTTTTGGGAAAATTAAGGAAAAAGGGACCATTAGAGGATTGTATTTGTTACCTTTGCCAAAAGTACTTAGCTCACAAAATTCTATGCTATGTGGTAGGGAAAAAGGAGCTGCCATGGTTACTTCACTGGGAAAGAATTCAGAGTTTGCTGAAGTTGATATTAACAACATGAATTCATTGAAAGGCGCTTTAAGTGGTAATGTTGTTCTTTTTAGTTGTTATCCTAAACAGAATGAAATAACATCCTTAATAAATTCCTTTTGTTTTAGGTACTCAGACCATTCTTGTTTTATCTGCAGATGTGGATCTCGTGGTTCACACTGCGGGACCCTTTCAGCAGGTGGAGAAGTGCACTGTTTTGGAAGCTGCTATTGAGACCAAGGTGAGACAAAGGTAAAAAATTTTCTGAATTTTTATTGAATTTATTGCATAAGTAATATCAGTGCATTTCATTCATCTTATTGTGTGACCAGTGTACTGAGAACCATTTTTTGTTTCTCAACAGACTGCATACCTTGATGTTTGTGATGATACAAGCTATGCCTTCCGTGCTAAATCATTCAAAAAAAGAGCAGAAGCTGCAAAAGTTCCAGCCATAACTACTGGTGGAATCTATCCAGGAGTGAGCAACTGTAAGTTTGCAAACATTTTTGTTATGTGTTCTAAGTCTAAGCAAATCAACTGGTTTGTACTTCTAAGAAAAGTATGAGTAGGGAGTCCCTTGACTTAAATAAAATGCTAGTCTAATGGAATTGTTTCAATACATTTTCTGGCTGCAAGGCTGCTCATTTGGTTTTCGGATATGCGGTTACTGCTCATTGGTCTCTTGCATCAAATGGGTTTTAGTTTTTCTTACAATAAAAGTGTTGGATATTAATGATCATCATTAAATGTTCATGCTGCTTATAGTTGCTGCTACTATTTTTCTATGGCAGTGATGGCAGCTGAGCTAGTTCATGCTGCAAGAAGTGAAAGCAAGGGAGAGCCAGAAAGACTAAGGTAATTCCTTTCTGTTAACGATTCTCTTCAAATAATGAAGATCATTGGGCAACACTTTCTTTTTTCATTCATTTTGGAGCATAGTAGTTATCAATTATCCATAGTATTTTTCATTTGAGAATGAACTATAGAATTTTCCTTCCTTTTATGTAATTTATTCATTTTTGGATATGCTTCCATCAGATTTTATTACTACACAGCAGGCACTGGCGGTGCTGGTCCGACTATATTAGCCACTAGTTTTTTACTTCTTGGTGAGGAAGTTGTTGCATATAACAAAGGTGTGTTTTAACAGCATTTTACAAGTTATTTGATATCCCTTTTTATTTATTTAAACTTTAAATGTTAACCCTTTGGTATATGATGCCTAATGATGATTTATTTTCAATCAGGAGAAAAGATCAAATTAAAGCCTTATAGCAGAATGCTCAATATTGACTTTGGGCAAGGAATTGGAAAGAGAGATGTTTATTTGTTGTAAGTTCTGTAAGAATATAATTTCTTAAATCAGAAGAACACTCATGTATACATTCCTCATGAATTCACATCTGTCATTCCCAACTAAAATTAACTTTCAAACTCAGGCTAGGTTGAGATTCTCTACTTTTTGAATTGCAACTGTCCTCACTGCTCAGTGATTCAGTTTGACCTTCCTTTCAGTAAAAGATTTTTGCTGATAAAACCTTGCTTCAGGAATTTACCAGAGGTACGGAGCGCTCATGAGGTCCTAAAAGTACCAACTGTCAGTGCTCGATTTGGAACTGCTCCATTCTTCTGGAATTGGGCAATGGAAGCCATGACAAATCTTCTTCCTGGGGTATGCACGTATAATATTGGAGGGCCAACCTTTCTACAAAATAATATAGATAGCTAATGCTGTCATTCTAATAAGTCTTTTATATATAATAGACATTATATATGATAGACACTATCTTGGGTTAATAATGATTTCATCTGTGTAATTTACCTACAAGCAAGGATATTAATACTAAAATTAAAAATGACATGCTGTTTTAACTCAAGCAAAGTTTATATTAAGTAATTATTATTTCAGCGCCTCAAAATGATTAAAGTGGTAAATTTGCAGGATTTTCTAAGAGATAGAAGGAAAGTGCAGCAATTGGTCCAATTGTCTGATCCTCTAGTCCGAGCAATTGATGGGATTGCTGGAGAACGTGTGTCAATGAGGGTAAGATTCTAGAACAGGAAAGAAAAGTGTAATGAACTTACAATTAAAAAATGTTTCTTACTGCTTGACCTTGCTTTCAAGAAATAGAGGCATGAAAATCTGATGTTGTTTCTGTATTGACTAGGTTGATTTGGAATGTAGTGATGGACGCAATACCATTGGTATATTTAGTCACAGGAAACTGTCTGTGTAGGTGGAAAGTTCTCTTTAGATATTCATTTTATGTTTCAACAAAGCCATACTGGTGAATGATTTCCATCAAACGTTGACATACAAATTTCATTCCTTTCAGGTCCGTGGGAACTGCAGTAGCTGCTTTTGCTCTAGCAATTCTTGAGGGAAGTACACAGCCTGGAGTTTGGTTCCCAGAAGAGGTACACAAGATGGTTGAATGATTTAGGGGGCCAAAAATTTCACTTCTAAACCTCTTAATCATTTGTTTACATTCTTCTCATAGCCTGAAGGAATTGCAATTGAGGCAAGAGAAATTCTACTCAAGCGTGCTGCACAAGGAACAATTAATTTTGTATTGAACAAGTAAAGTGACTCTAATACTTTATTAACCTCCTTTTTGTTTCTTCTTCTCTACTTGCATTCTGATTGAACTTGGTTGTGTCAATAGGCCACCGTGGATGGTTGAAACAGAACCCAAAGAGCTTGGATTAGGAATATACATATAAGAATACACCCAAGAGGAAGTTATAGTTCATTTTTTTATTGGAGAGCTTTTCTTCCATGCCACTGAAGTGAAGTTAGAGTAGTTATTCAACATTTGTGTCAATCCAGATTGGTTTCTAACCAAGCAGATCTTGTGATTCTTTATCATACCAGCTCCTTGAATTTGTCAGCCGTTTAGAAGAACTTTGCCATGTATGGAGAATACAGTTTTCTGATGAAAAGCATCTGAAATTCTTTGTAACCAATCCATTACCTTTATAATCTATTGTGGTGATTAGCTCAATAAATATATGGAGGCTGCAATGCATTTATCTTGCCTTTTTCTCTTTTCATGTTTTTCCTTTATCTTTGTGGAAGTCATTAGCTCAATCAATATATATACCTGAGCAAGTCATTTTTTATTTAATAATACAAATTTAGTATTTTTTACTTTTAGTGATGCAAAATTTTCAAATTAAGATTGTCATTTGTTTTTTTACTATTAATTTCTTGGCATTCAACAATTAAACTAAATTTTAATTAATTTATATTTGAGTAGCGTCTAATCTCATAAATAAAATTTTTTTAACTTATTTTTTCATGCATAAAATTTAAATTAAAAAATTTATTTAAAAAAATTAATCTCTTCTCACTAAAATCGATAGGCATGCATGTTCAAAAAAAAATCGATAGGTATGAAATTATTTTTATTTTTATTTTTAAATATTTTTATCATGAGGTTGACTCGAACCGTTATCCTAAGGGAAAAGATATGAAGTTTACAAACATGGTTAGAACCACTTAATTTGAAGAATCAGGTTCGATAGCTATGAAATTATTATTTTGATCAGACGTCTTGATATGAATGGAAATAAATTATTTTCTAAACTTTCCATGAACTCAACGCAAGGTCGAAATGGTAAAATTAAGGAACTGAAAAGCCGGCTGGTTTTACGGCCCC